TGACCCAGCAATTTGGTTTTCGGATTCCTATTTAGGGAAGAAGTTCTATAAGGATCACCTAGTAGCTATCATAAAACAAAAATAGTGTTGAATAGTGTAATTAATGTATTTACCTATGTTTGGTTCACTGCAGAAACAAAATGGTTGTTGGTTCAATGTAAATATATATGAAATAATTGCTGTGTGCTTTTGGGTTTTAGGAATCAGTTGAAGAGAAACGGAAAACATGGTGGGAAACTGTGATCATATTTTTCGACTTGGATCTCCTTCGTGATCCCATTTACGTGAATTTGATGGTTGGCGTCACTCTTGCCAGTTTCACGGAAATAAATTTCTCGCTGCTGACACCGTTTATTTTAAGCGAATACGGGTTCACGAAAATCCAGGTTGCTACATTCATGTCGATCCTCGCTGGTGTTGACGTTCTTACCCGATTAACGATTCCCTTTATAGCCGATTTCATTGGCTGGAGCAACAGGACTTTCTTCCTCGTTGGCATATGCCAAATGGCACTCGGTCGTATAGGTAAGGAAAACATAAATTTCAGTAAGTACTTTGATCAATAAAAGGCACTTACCTCTCAACCTGTTAACTATAGAATTTAGTTTAAAAAATTTCTCGTTTTGCGCGCAATCAAATGAACAAATGAAGTGTGTACTCGTCAAACCCAGGACGAATGCACCTAGGGTATATTTTAATGAAAAACCAAAGCAAAACAGAGAAGGATTACATGTTTATCTGAAAAAATAAAGAATTCATCGTTGAAAGACTTAGTATCATTTCAAGCTTTAAGATGACTTGTATACTCGTCAAACGCAGTTAACTGGTTTACAAACTTTCCCTTGACCTTACAGTTATGAAGTATAGAATTAAACATAAATAAAACTGATCATGGAATTTGAAAATATAAACGGTTATGAAATATGAATCATTATCATCAATCAAAACTTCATTCTTTAAATTTTTCAAAATTTTATTTAAAGTAAATTTCTTTGTGCTCGGATTGAATACTAGGAAATAATAAAAATTTTTTTGCAAAAATTGCAATAATAAAGATTCCTTCTAAGATGTATTATTAAAATAATGTAATACGTAAATGCAGTTTACATGTTTATTTCATTAAGGTACCTGTAATAATAAAGTAAAATACATTCTACAATGTTTACTTGATTTTTCAATATTTACAATATGAATTTTTCAAAATCAATGTAGATATCTGCATAGATATTTCAGCATGTGTTTTCTGTACTTTTTGTTGAGGAGTTAACTAATTTGGCTAATGAATAGCTTAAGTACATACAAATGTGACTGCATATGCTCATTGTAATGAACTTCTCATTTGACTAGTACCATTACATTTATTGAACCTCTTTCGATTTAATCGCGTTCTCATTTTTTTAACAATAGGTTTACCCACATTTGTTATATCTACAGATTATTTTTTTATTTCTAGAAAAATTGATATTCGGTCGTCTCCATCTTGGAAATTAGATGTTTAAAAATAGACAATTGGGATACATGCATATCCATATAATTGCATCAATCAAAATTGACATAAACATTTACCAAATAATGTTTACAAGCGTCAAAAGTGTTTTTCAATTTGAAAGAAATATAAGAAAATTGTTACTATTAATTGTATTTCCCTTTTTTCAATATCGTTCCAAATGTGTAACTAAGATAGCTGCAATAGAGCTAATTGTAAAAAATAATGGTTGAGAGTAGAAAGTTAATGTTCGATACATTTATCTATACAGAATGATCGAATTTAAATTATTATCATAAATACTTTTTAAAATATTTCTTAAGCGTAATATGTAGAAGAACAATTTATATTCGAATAGTGCGTATATCAGAAATGACTCACACTGAATTGCGTGCTTATATGATTTTGATAATCTTTTCATCTACGAGTAAGATAGCACTACTTATCATTTTCGATGATCTAATCAGCTCTGACATAAATGCCGACAGAAATGAATCACCGTGACTTGAAAATTTCTTAGCTAGGTTGTTTAAAAAAATAAAGGTTGTTTGTAGTAACGTTCATTTTATCTATTGTACGTTTACAATGACTTTCATAGTAAAGTACAAATTGCTTAGAGCGCGTCGATAAAACGGCGTTGAAATACAAATTTGTTCAATTCATCTTCATTGATATTTAAGCACGTTGTTATCTATGATAATCTTGCACTGAGTAATTTTATGGTCAACTTTTTATGCTTACTGTAAATTATCATCTACTGTGCTCTTAATCACACGTATTACTAACGTGTAATATTGGTTTCCATTTCTATTGTTTTTTTTATATACATAGCATTCCAATTGTAATAAATAAAATAATGAAATAGAGAAACAAATTAATACAATTGAAGTATAAACCGGGAGCGGAGGACGTTAGATAATTGTTGGTGTTGAGTATTAATGATAATTAAAAATGTTGAAGTTCAAAATAATATTTTTTAAAATTGAAGGATGAAAAATAATTTTGTTTCCAAATCAGTTAGACTGGGAACTTAAATTTTTCTGCATTGTTCCTTTATTTATTATAAAAAAAATATATAAAATACTCAAAGTGTACTGTTCTTCATCATGTTTGCTAAGAATAACAATTTTCTATTGTGTTTCTATTGTATACCATAGAAAATTGTTATTCTATGTTTCTAATTATATTGTTAAAAATTTGTATTTGTATAAAGATCCGCAGTCTTCGTTGACAAAGTTGTTTGATATAGTAATGTGTTATCTGTGACGAATTGATTTGACCCACTGTTGAGTCGTCTATCGTAAAAACGATAAAATCTAAAAATCTGAGAGTAAAATCGACGTGCAATCGACGATTTTTGTTTAACACAACGCAGCTAATTAAAATTGGAAAGGTGATAATAATACAGTTCTGCGTTATTATCTTTGTACAGCAATGAAATAACAACACTGAATTTTTTAATTGACTAGAAATTGCTTCTTATTCATCATAGTTATGCCCATTTGCAATAAGTTACAATTAAATCCGCAAAATTGAAACATCAGGTCACCCTATAAACAATGTGGTCTTTTTTATACTAACTCCAAGTGTAAAAAATTAATATTCTAGTTTTTTTTAAATCAACAACGTTTTGATCATCATTGGATATTACATTTTCCTATTTTTCAATTCATTTTTTAATCGAATTTTCGAAAAAGATCTGCGATTTTCTATTAAAAAGTTCATTCAAAACTAAAATTACTTATAAAATCACCTAATATATCGTTACTTGCAATCAAACTTATTTATTTAGCTACCCAATATATCATAAATTAATTTTTTTCTGTTTTCAGTATTAGCTCACGTGCAACATTTTGGAGTTTCATTAGCGATCTCAGTTTTGGTGGGCGTTGGTAAAGGTTTACGTACGATTTTCATGGCCCTCGTGATCCCGAGCCACGTCCCTTTATCAAGGCTACCTGGTGCAACCGGTATACAACTGTTAACCAGTGGCATAGTCGCGTTATTATTGGGTCCTGTTATCGGTTGTATTAGAGACATTACATCGAATTACACGATTATGCTACACTTTCTAAATATCCTAACGTTTTTCACTACAATTACGTGGTGCATCGAGACTTACATCACCAGACGGAAATCCAAGATGGCGACAGCAACGAAAGAGAAACCGGACAAACCGTTGGATGTTTGAAGTTCTATACAGTACGATCTTTGTAATGAAGTGAACAAATAAAGAACAAGTATTTTATATTTATTGAATAATAGGTATTTTTGGTAATTATTTACAACACCGACATTCGAATATGCCCGGGAATAGAGAGTTTTCGTACTCATTCACAAAAAGAGTAACCCTCGTACGATCTTGATTTTGACATATTCGTCAAGGCTATTGTTCTGTACATCCAGGACTTTAAACTTTTTGGGAGTGAGTATTGGTTTAAAAGCTATGAAGCATTAAAGTTTCGCATTGCGCTAAAAATGTTTGTCTTCATTTTTATTTATTGAAATTGTTCCTTATAATATGTGTACTTGAACTTCAATTAGAAAATACAGATTAGTATTAGCGGGGCTAGTCTTAAGGGGTGAGGTACAGTTTCCCCCTCTGCCCTCTAGAGAAACCAACCCCACTAATACCAATTTTTACACCTGCTGTTCCTTATAAGACTACCTTAAAAAATGAAAATGAAGACGAATATTTCTAGCGTAATGCGAAACTTTGATGCTTCATAACTTTTGAACCAATACTCACTGTCAAAAAGTTTAAAGTCTTGGCTGTACAGAACAAGGAGTTTAACAATATATGTTAAGATCAAGGTTGTACAACGGTTACTCCTTTTGTGGATAAGTACGAAAACTCTTCATTCCCGAAGATATTTTTCTGAATATCTAAAAAACTAAGGTCGAGCGATGGTAACACCTATAGAAAAGGGTTATTCAGAATCAAGTTTCCCATAACTTATTTCAGGCTCATCGAAATCCGCGAGGAATCAGTGTTGTAAATAATTACCGCATTTTCTACTCGTCGTATACGTTGTATTATAAGTTTAACATTAAAGAGCTTACGCAAAAACGATTGCACCGTTACCGTCAATCGTCACTTTGTAACGTGACCTGCTAATAACACTTCAACGACACTAATGTGCTTCTCTTTGATGCGCGTAATCTTGATGAGCGCATGACGGATTACAGTGGTTGAGATTAGATTAATCAACAGTTCTTGTCTTCGTATTTATAAAATGTAAAGTGTATATGTTTTCTGGCAATAGTCTAATGTCCATCATCGTGAGAATGCAATACCGATATTGCTTTCCTTAGTCTGTGATTGTATGTACGGCAATTAGCAATCGTTCAAGTACCGGACACTGTTATCAAAACAATTTTGATCTGTATTACGACAGTTCGTGATCGGCGAAGATAATAGATATTCAATTGAACGCGAGTTGTACCATTGTGACGCTTGTCAAGTGAACAGCAAGCATTCAAGAATGTGACAGTGAACTAGAAAAACGGTGATGATATTGCGTATGAAAATAATACGCCACGGAATATTAAATCAGTCGGAAGGAAAGTGCTGTGAAGGAATAATTATGTGAGATAATGCAACATCAAAAACGTTTTAATTTTTACGTTATCAACGAACATTTTTATTAGTCAATGAATATAACGTATATTTAAAATTATTACTTAAATATTACTTGGATTCTTCGATCAGTTTTGCCTTCGATCGGTTCTTTAAATTACGGTTTTAGGACAACATCCTACGTCCAACATAGTGCGATATTAATAAGAATATTGTAAAAATTGTTAATACATCAGTTTAGTGCAAGGAGAAAATATTTATAAATAAAAAATGACTACGCAAGAAGCTACACAAGTTCCTCCGGATGGAAAATGGGGTTGGATGATCGTTTTAGCGTACGCTTTGAATGGGGTCAGTACAACAATTATTACGTTGCGAAATGAACTGGAAATATCAAGATTAGCGTTAAATCTTTATCTGATCATTTATCTGTGAAACAAAGAATTTATATAAATTTTGAAATTCGTATAAACATTTACAGTACAGTAGTTATTGACGTCAAAATTTTGAAGAAAATCGAAATTAATTAATTTTGTTACATTAATGTTTCAGCTAAAGCAAGAACTTCCATACAAATATATTAATTACTTATTAATGTTTTTTCGATATTCTATTTATTTATTTTGTTTTTGAATCTGCATACTTAAAATATGTTTAATATTTTTTTATTTATTTTCCGAACTTTTCTGCATCCAACATATTTACTTAATATTGTTCTTTTTATGTAGTTTTCATTATTGACGTTAAGTTAAAGAATATTATTCTGCAATAATAAATTATTTCAACGACATTATAACTTTTAGCTTAAAAATAACCTAGACAAAAGTAACTGTATTTTAAATAATAACTTTTTATTTGTGGTAGTGCGTTTAATTAAAATATGAGATAATTACATCGCAATGTAATAAACCAAACTATTATATTAGTGTATAGCTCTCAATGTTAACATAACAGAATGAGTGCCAATTAAAAGAGTATGTAACTATTTTACTTCATTACCACATAATGAGATAATTCAAAAAAAGATAATTTGTTCCTAAAAACCGATTAATGCAATTTAATGATTAGTAATTGATTAATTATAAATAGATTAGAAATAGATTAATGTCATTTTATGATAACGATTAACATTAATCCAGCGGAAGAAAATAACATATTATTTGAATAATCATTTTGCAAGTATTCAAATAACATCCGTGCCGATTGTTATGCAGCATGCAAATGTTATTTTCAGATCACAACTATATCTTCCCTGCACGGATTCGGATTAATATTTAAGGATACGTTTCCTCGTTTTGGTTTCAATGCCACGGAGGGAGCAATTATCATAAACACGAATTTAGCATTTGGCATGATACTAGGATTAGTTAACGGACCGCTGTTGCGTACCTTCGGGTACAGAAAAATGGCGGTGATCGCTAGCTTACTTTATACTGTTGGAGTAATCGCAACAGCGTTCAGCAGATCCTTCACTTTAATTATTATTTTCTATGGTTTATTTGCTTGTGAGTACCATTTCTTTTAAGAACAGGGTTTTATGTAGGGTAATGGCACCTGATACGGAACACTTGATTTGAAAAACTTGCCAAAACGAGAGATATACACTTTCTTCAATGAAACCTGTATAAAAACACGAAGAAATGAATATACATTCATACACTGATCGATAACAGTGCAAAAATTTAAATACCTTCAAACCACGGTAAAAAATGCAAATAAAGTGAAATACAGCCAATTGAAAAAGTGGCACTTAATATAGAACACCTAATGTAATTTGTAAACAAAACACAGTTTTATCGCGAGAAATGAATAGTTATGGACTTAAAAAGAATAAATAAATAAATAAACAACTCTTCTACTTTTTTGAACTTTTGTTATGTTAATTTTTTTTCTCTTTTTTTCTTCTACACGTCGGATGTGTGTATGAATAACACATCGGGATCATTACATTCTTCGTGAACACAATGTATTGGACAGATTTTTTCCCAATATTATCATTTTTGTAAGTGTCACCACCGAATAAAAATATAATATAATAATACGTAACATTAACAAAAAATACGTTCCATATTAGGAACCCATCTATTTCGACAGAAAAATAATTCTATAGAGAAAATAAATTTGCAGCAAATTGACTTTGAATAGTGAAAAACAAACATGTTCAATGATAAATCATGAAAAGATAGCATTTTTTGGCCTATCTATTTTAAGAAATTTGACTATTTAACTCGTCTTTCAGAAAATTTAACGTACTACCAAACATAATAATGCTTCGCATTCCCAGGGTAATTGAAACATCAAGCTATTTATTTTTTAAAATATTGTGGTGTTCCATATTAAGAGCTGTCCCATATTAGGCACCGTTACCCTAATAACATAGTTATCTAAAGGAAAGAAGTAAAAATGACAGCTTTAACACTAAATTTACGGACGTTAATTGTAAGGTTTATACTATTGTTCCTAGAAAAATTGATGTTCGTTCGTTTAGATCTTGGAAATTAAGAATTTAAAAATCGATTTAAAAATAGATTGTATTTATATTCATGTTTTCTTTGTTGTAAAAGTAATAATCATTGCTATATGTTTCAAGATTTATTTTAGTGACCAAAATGCTTACCAACTCGTCCAATTTGTTTACATATTTTCAAATTTCGTTTATAGTATTCTACGTCCAGAAATAGATAGAAATATTCATTAAAGCACTATCAAACTGAAACTATATTTTTCTCGCCATATCAAATGAAATATTTTCCAAATCAATGTCCCATTTGAAATACTTTAGTATGCATATCTATCTTTAAACTTATTCAAAATTGAATATAATTTCCTGTCGCAACTTTTTCAATCTGCAGAATAAAAAATGTCTTCTATAAATGTTATTCAGTTCAACAAGGACTATTCAAGATTATTCTGCTTTAAGGATGTTGCTTTTACTTTCATTGCAATCGTCTACGAAAAATTTGTTGCACACATAGTTCATAGGACTGTAGTCTCAAAAACAAAGGGTTGTTATATTTTATTTGGTTCATTCTGCAGATTTTTTAATTTTACAATATCATCTATTATATTTACAGCACTCGGAATGTGTATGGGAATGTCTGCCTTTTCGTACGCATTAAATTCTTACTTCACAAAGAAGAGGGGGCGTGCCATGTCGCTAGCATTAACAATTATTGGACTCGGTCCTATAATTACACCACAATTAACAGTCCTCTCAATTTCATATTATGGATTTCAGGTATACCTTTAATAAACACAATTAACTTGTGTCGAATCCGTATTTAGTATGCTTGGAAAGAAAAGTTGAAAATTTCTTAAAACTTTGTATTTTCATGATACTCTTATTTTTGTAACAAAAATAAATGAAAATAAATAATCTCTTTAATAATTTGGAAAGAAAAATAATCTATTTTCGTTTAAGATTCTTTTTCGAAAAGAAGACACTTGTTTCTGTTTATGATTGTATTTATAAATACGACAAAAAATTGGACTCTTTTATTTTGTATTTAATTTGAATAGTTCACAAACAAAGATAAGACTATTACTTTTTAAACCTCATTTTATTAATATTATGTATGACCTGTTTATTAGTGATGGGATCAAGTATAACGCAAATAAGTTCGAATATTGATCAATTAAGGTTGACCTATTATTATGGAAAAAAATACTTTCAAGCACATTCCAACTTAAAAATGCGAAAGATTTGAACCATGTGCGAGTATTTTGGAAAGTAAGGAAAGGATTCACAGGCAGAATCGAAAACTAATCAGATGGATTCGAATCTGAATAAGTATATACCTTATCAAAAATTGTGCGTTCTCATAATGATGATTTTCAAAGAGTTTTCTTTGTTATTACCAAACGTATTTAATTCTAACTGTATTTATAATTCAATTCTGAATTATAATATCCTTAACATCGTCTTACATATACAAAACTACTATTTTCTTCTTATTTACATTTATTATTGCCGATACACAGCATTTTTCTGGCTTTGCTCACTCGATTATCAGTTGTCAAAGATTCTAATCATTATAATCTCAAAGTACTTTTAAATGTATTTCTAAAACTTGCAAGTAATCGTTCTGAAGCTCGAAACTAGCTTGTGAAGTCTGAATACTTCGCAAGTATCACAATGAATTTTTATATTATTAGCCCATTAACCTGTTAACTTTGAAATTTGGAAAAATCTATCGTTTTGCGCGCAATAAAATCTGCACGAATGCACTTAGGGTATATTTTAATGAAAAACCAAAACAAAACAAAGAAGAATTACGTGTTTAATTGAAAAAATAAAGAATTCATCGTTGAAAGAATTAGTATCATTTCAAACTTTACGATAACGTATATATTCGTCAAATACAACATAAGCAAAACCTGACACAAGCACTTGTTTTTATTGTGAAATAAACATTAATATCGACAGGTTCGTAATAACGGAAATAACAAGTACTGGGCGGTGAATAGAAATAATATTGCTATGTAAAATTTCATTCTTGTACGAAATTTGTCATTTATTTGCGGAAAAGTGCAATATCTCAAATGGGAATTTTGGAGCAAAATGTGTTAATAGCAGGGATCGAAAAGACTCCGAAAATAACTGTTTGAAACTGATATATATATATATATATATCGATTCTATCTGAAACAGTTACGAAGAACCGAAATAAGTTATAACAGTTATTTGGTGTATCTATATCGACTTCGGTTCCAGTTCTTCAGAACCGATGTAATATCATGAAACCGTTATAGGGTAAAGTTGCTTCAGTCGTACCCCGCGAGGAAAAGAGTATATGCATTGCATGATGTATTAAATAAACGAAACATAATTGCTTTATTCGAAACTTTAATGACCATTAGTACTATCCATTTCAACAGAGTGCGATTTCTGATGCTCTTACATCTAATGAATATCTTAATACGGTGTTTCACGAACTCTGTTCAATAAAATATCTTGGTTATTTCAACCAATACGAGAAAATGTTACAAACGTTGTAGGGTTTAAGAAACTACAGAATATGTATAGAATGTTATTCTAAACATATAAATGTTATTCTTGCAAGTGGAGGCATGGAGAAGATGTAGCAATCACCTTTGTTTTTTTTATATGGAATGTCCAATTCTTTATGCTCGATGTCGATAGACTGGCGTATTTTGAGTATAAAAGTATTAAAGTACATTTCTCCTAGAACTTACTGTTGTTGAGATATTTGAGTTTTTTTCATTAAGCATGCTCGAAATGACGTGGTATCAGCATGATGGATATCCAACACACTACGCTCGAAGGGCGAGAAATACACTTGATAAAATATTCCCAAACCGATGGGTAGGACGCGGAGGCATTATTTGTTGGCCAGCAGGAAGTTCGGATTTAACACTCGTAGATTTTTTATTGTGTAGATCCTTGAAAAATACTGTGTAATTTATTTCGGTTCTTGATAACTGTTTCAGCAACCGAAACCGATATCATAACTATTTTCAATCTCTGGTTAATAGTATTCGAAGCCTATGACATGAACCGTGGGTATTGTATTTGTCTCGGATTTGTACTACATATTGAATTTGATCCCATCACTACTGTTTATAAAATTCTAAAGATTTTTTATACGCTTAAATATCGTGTTACTAGGGTACAATATTATTATTCGGAGCATTTAGTTTGCATTCATTGGTCGGAAGTCTGTTACTTCATCCGCTGAAATGGCATAAGAAGTATGAAAAAATAGAAGAGGAATCGGCAAATGGTGAAGTACCAGTGAACGAAAAGGAAAACAAACTTACAGGTCAGAGTCTTAATGAAAACGAATTACGTAGTACTAGAAGGAAATTAGTTATATTATAAGCTCCATTATTAATAGACTGCAGATTTCTATGGATCTATAGCAAACTTGAAAATGTAAAATTGAATAGAATACACACAATACCAAAGAAGGTATAAAATATTTAAACTGCAGTGCTTTTCACAATCTTTGCTATGAAAAACCATTTTTTTTCGTAAACCAATATTTCTTATTAGATTCTCATTACTACATACAATTACCTAGCATTTAATACGAGTAATAGTTTCGAACCAATAATTGCGAACTAAGAAAATTAAAATCCGTCATTTTGTCGGATTCTAATGTTAAACATTTGAATTTGCAAAAATCTGCAGTCCATTTAGCACTAAATTAAGTACGTTATTACATAAATGAATATTTCAATATAATGTTACAGAAATTGAGCGTACTTCTCTAATTGTATGTGTCTATTTCTGTGTTTTCAGCATTGAATTTAATAGACACGTATTACTACTGAAATCAAATTTATTTTAGACGAGAAAAGCCTTTTCCAAGAGGACGAATGTTCGTTAAATTCGACATTGGAGTTAAGTAATATACAAAGGAAAAGAAAAACTACCATTTCAACGATCGATCATGACGCTGAAATTGGAAGCATATATGGATTTGATATACCACTCGCACGACAATTTTCGGAATCGTTACACGGTAACAAAAATATAAAGAATAATTTCTTTTGAGATTGATGAAATATTAGATTTCCACGGAACCAAATACATTTTACTTTGGAAAATAGAACATTCAATTGACTTCTATTTCTGAACAATAACGTTACTATTTAATAACATAATTTACAAAATTAACGCATTTAAAATATTGCATCATACTACACGATATTATTATCTTATAATATTTTATTTTAACAGTCTATTATTCCAAATCTGAATGACTTGCGGTTAAATATTTATCTATTTTGATATTCAATTTGATTATTTTTATTAATTTAATTATAGCACATTTTAGTAGTCTAATCGAAAACGTAATAAACAACAATTCTAAACGTAACATAAATATGTACGAAACAATGTTACAGTATATTATTTATAATAATAGATATTTGATTAGTTGACAGCGTAAACAGTCAACGACACCTCAATCGACAGTGTAAGTCTGACAAAATATGTTACAACAATAAGTACCTCCAATATCATATTAAAAACCTGACGTTTTAGGAACAACGTTTCTCTGTTTTAGTTAAGAGCGTTGACACAATTAACCTTGGGAGCAGCGTAAAAATTTTTGACGAGAAGTTTGATTTAATGAAACGCAGTAATCTCAGCGTTTCTAAAGGAAGTAAGCAGATTCTCCAAAAAACGATGGAAAGCGATTTGTTAATAGCAAAAAATGACACGGAAACAACGTCAAGAATAGCCATTGACAGTAACCGGAAGTATGTATATTACTGTATATTAAAAATTTCCATGACAAACATTATATCGTAAAATACGTACACGTGGCACTTCATACGATTTATCTAACATGTGCATATATCCATGTACTATCTATATATTATTTATTATTTCTTCCGATTGTAAGTGCAGGCGTCTGTTGATAACACGTTATCTGATTTATGCTTTTTTATATAATGTTATAGAAATTATTTTTAGAACATTCCAGTAGTAGTTATATAAAGAAGGGAGTTTAGCGTTTCTTTAAAACTATGTTACTGTAATAACAAAGAATTTATGGTCAACGTATTTTACAATGAATTCGCTGAATCTCGCTAATTACTCACAAAAAAATCTTATATAAAATTGTTTCAATCAGTTCTTATCGTTATACATATGTGTCGATAGTATTAAGTAATTTCATAAAGAATTACGTTCTTTGACGCAATCTTTTACTTTGAAATATTAATTGGGTGTTAATCGCTGACATAGAAGATTATTGTTTTCTATATAATACCTCTTTATCATATTTATGTTTAATCTCTTAAGGAGGAGACATATTAGATGATTAAGAGAAATTAATATTTTCTTTTCCAATTTTCTTAAAGTATCAAATATGTACATATGTTAGAAAAGAACTTTCGAAGCTAGCAAATAACTATATCATTTTGTAACGTTTTAGTTTAAAATATGAATGAAAACCTGAAGATCACGTTTATAGATCCATAAATTCCAAAAAAATCAGGATTTTTCACTTAATAATTATTAATAAAAAAGTACTCAAACTTTCACATATTTTCAGACATTGCTAGGTGGGTTCCCCACTTAAAATCTTGTTAGCTTCCTTTTAAAATTCTATTGGGTCATTCCATAAATAATACGATATTTCTATACTTCTTTTATTATTAAAAATTGTTATCTATTTTCATTTTTGAAGGTAAAAAAATATTAAACAATCACATTATTTATGGCTTGATCCAATATATACGTATATATGTATATATAGATACAGTGGAATGCACATTACCTACTCGAACACCAATTATACTGTGGAACAAATTTGAACTTTTTTTGTGTTTTGCATTAATCACTAGGTGATTCTTATAGAGTTCCTTACCCTAAATATGAATCCGAAAACCAAATTGCTGCAAATTAATCATCGTAATAATATTACTCGTATATCTGTATTCACATATTAAATAGCAAATTATTTAAAACAGAAGGATCGTGAAAAGCTTTCTCATAATTATTATGAAAATTTATAAGAAGTGACCGGTGTCCAAGTCTATACAATGCGTGGTCACGGTCCGAACTAGCCACGGCCGACGCGTGATGGCCGTGTGGCACCAAAGCTCTGTACACACGCTTTTTACGGAGATTTTCTTAATCTGTCCGAAAGAAAACCGTTATCACGCTTTCTGCGGAGGGTTTCTCTTCAGAGATGCCTGCAGAATCCAATACTGCATAAAAAATTCGTGCTAGTCAACGTACTCTTCGTAAAAATGTAACAGAAGTTAAAAATGTAAACTTTGATCATCGTTTACAAGCATTTAATGATATGAAATATTCAACATTTTTATAACTACACATTCAGGCAACTCTCCTCTATCTTTTATGACAAATTCTAACTGTCTATCGTTTTTAGTTTTCACGCAACACTTGTTTCTGTAAAAAATTCGGCCGTTTTTAGAAAAACTCATATTTTTCGAAAACTGAGGATGACCCAGAAAGTTGGTTTTCGGATTCATATTTAGGGTAAGGAACTCTATTTTGACCACTTAGTGGCTATTATAAAACAAAAATCATATTCCACAGTGTTATCTAAAACGTTGATTATCGACTTTTGATTATCATCCGAGCGATTAATTATATGAATGTATCAGTTATGTACTGTACTTACATATTTGGTAATCATTCAAAATCACGGTTATTTCACTGATTTTGTTATCCTTGAAGTATGTGGTTGCTGCCATGATTCTGAAGAATTTATATATACAGGGTGTTCACACTATTACTAGCCAGCATTTTTCTTGTAAATCGTACATATTAGAAAAAAATGAAAGAGGAAAAAGTAGTACTGTTTTTCATACGCAATACAATGACGTATGTAATATTTTTGGGTTTATACTATTTTGTTAGATATGCAGGTGACCTTCAGTTTTTTAAATGGAATGCTGTATATTTTTTCTGTCACATAAAAGCGTGTGTCTAGACAAATTCATCCGCATACTGTAACAGTGACCTTCGAGGTCATGCAAGGTCAGAAATGGAAGAAACATTTTGAATATTTCATACCACATAATAGCAGAATTGTAAGAAATTATCTGATCGACATGTTTCAAAGTCGATGGATTGGAACATACGGACCTGTCAAGTGGCTAGAAAAATTTCCAGATTTATCACTCCTGGACTTTTTTTATGGAATACTATTAAAGACTTTGTTTATGATACACAGGGATGTAAACGACTTGAAAAGTAAAGTAACACAAGCATGTGCATTATTATCTCGGATTACGTTACACTATCTAAAATGTAATTAATAAAGCCTAAATGTGCGTTCAAGGAAGTCATATTGAAGATTTACTGTAGCTTCACCAATAAAGAATACTTGTAAACACATTGGTATGAAATATTGAAAATGTTTCTTCCATTTCTGACCTTGCATGACCTTCAAAGTCACCGTGCAGTATACGAATTAATTCGTCTAGACACGCTTTTATATGATGTAAAAAAATATACAGCATTCCATTTAAAAAAATGGAGGTCACCCACGTATCTAACAATATAGTATAAACCCAAAGAGATTACATACGTCATGGTATTGCGTATAAAAAACAGTATTACTTTTTCCTCTTTCATTTTTTTCTAATATGTACGATTTACAAGAAAAACGCTGGCTAGTAATAGTGTGAACGCCCTGTGTATATTACTCATGTTAGCTTGCAAATAAATCCTGTTATATGAAACTTTTGTTTATAATTTTCTAATAAATTATCACTGTCACGTTTCATATAAAAATATTTTCTTTTAATTCGAAGAAATAAAATGATACTTATATTCGTTAAATAATGTTTATTTAATATTGATTCTTCGCCATGAGTTTGATACAATATCATAAGGCAAGAGGCTAAGTACGTGCTTGGAAACTTGAAAAGCTGTATGCAACTAAGCGCAGAGTGTCTATTTGTCAAACAAGCCGAGTATGTAATTGGTCGGCTCACTGGACCGCGTGCTAACTAGTGGCTATGAAGAATCGCGGCTCTGTGCAAAGAACTGCTCCCCGAAGACTATTTGGTTCTTATACAAACCGACATTTAACATGGACCCGATTCACTTTCACATAGATGGTCTGCTTGAGCTAAAGTTAAAGGATTTTACGGTTTAGACCTTTGGAAGAACATTTCTTTGGTTTCCCTATCTTCAATGGTCCCTTCTTGAATTATTTCCATGTTTCTGTTCCATGGTTAACACGTACCATGTCGTCGGAAATTTCGGTTACATTTTCCTTATGGACTGTATTGATTTTTGAAATAAAATATTAAAGTATATTCAAGTTTTTGGTAATTTTTATATATTTTGATATCGTTTCTTTATGTTTTCGCTGCTTTGTACCGCTATGGTACCAGATACGGTACACGCGACAGAGAACTTGTTAAGAAAACTGTTAAATTTTGACACTTCAGTGTTACATTCTTAATTATATTGTGTACCGAAGAAAGTTCGTGAGGTTCTTGTTAGGAATGAATTGAGGTCCGATTTCAATTAGTATGTCACTAGTTTTATAGGTGAAAGTATAAAATAAAATAAAGTTATTTTACAAATACGTTCTCTGAGTTTAAATTACAAATACGTTCTCTGAATTTAAATTTTGATTTACGAACGCACACGAACTTTTTCTAGTACCTAATATTATCTGAAACGCTCCTTTTTATATTTAACTGTGTATTTGGCTTCCTTCTTGTCCATTAATTATCCAGTTTGTCTATAATTTTGTTACTTGCAGGTATAAATTAAATTTTTCTTATAGAGATATCATCTTTGTTTTTAAAATCTGTAATTAGACAGTTCATTTATTTTTTATATTTTCTTTCAAAAATGTCCTCTTTTAGTACATTTACAACATTTTTCATGAAATGATGTGGTATTATTTAGATATGTAATGAAATAAGTTGATACGTCCTGTTAGAATATATAATATGTAAGATTTATTTATGAGTAATTAATAAAAATTAGCGAATTTGTTGTACATAAACCACAAGAGTTTTGTTGTTATGATAATTTATATGAAATGAAATCTTTAAGTATCTTCTCAGTAAGTAACTAATAAATAGAGTTTGATGCAGTGCGCAAATATTACGTAAGTTGAGTTGAATAATTGGTTACCTTTTCCGAGCATTGAGTATATTTTGATTCATTAATGTTTAAATTCTGTTTAAAAACCTAAATTGTTGTCAATTTTTCAAATTTCTCGCATAAAATAAATGAACATGTAAAAACTTTTTGTACGCCATACATATTTCTAAGAATTCGCAGTTTTTGATTGCATTTTAATTTACAACAAAACGTTACAGATCCGACGAGAAGTCAATCACAGCAGTAATACGTGAGAAAGTGGTTCAGCTGTTTGATCTGGACTTACTGAAAGATCCGATCTATGTAAACATTATGTTAGGGATGTCGATAGCCATTTTTGCCGAAGCAAATTTTTCGCAATTGACCCCGTTCATTTTGATGGACATGAAACTGTCGAACCAGCAAATTTCGACCATTATGAGTATCATTGCCACCAGTGACTTAATTTTCCGGAGTTTAGCTGCTTTTCTCGGCGAATGGCTTCGTCAGCCACCGAGGATTATGTATATGATGAGTCTAGTCCTTTTAATAATCAGCAGATCATGTGAGTACTGTACAATTAAATATAGTTTATTTTTCATTCCTTTAAGTTTCTTGCATTTTAAGGAAGGGTTGATAGTATACGATAAAAAATACATTGATTCACTCTATTAACACTAAAATCGAGCAATTAGAGTTACTTATTTGTAATTTTTTATAAAAATTGTAACAATACGTTTTTTGAAATTCAAAGCGTCTGCCAGCTTTGTATCTGTGCAAATACAAAAATTCAATTGATAATCTCCTGCAAAAACGCTTTCATGATTTAAATATTTATAAAATAAAAATTCTGAAGTGGATCAATCTGACCTGCCTGGTAGTTGTAGTGTTAAGGAAATTTTATAGAATAGATGTATGTAACATTATTTATTTCTTTTACAGCTAAAAAATTTGGTCTGTATAACTATCTTTTCGCCATATAAAAGAAATAGAATGGAAAATGAACTTTATTTGTTTATATTTTTCTTTATTTATTATTTTGTTTACATGAGGGAAAAATAATTATATAGACCCATTTTTTTTAGCTTTAAAGAAAAATAAGTAATTTTACATGCATCTATTCTATAAAATGTCCTTAGTACAGTGAATCCATGTATTATTAAAGGAATACAACAATTTGCTAAATACTGGTTTCCGAATATTTTTTAATTTTAAGACACAACTACTTAATTCGGTACACGTTATTCTCTGATTTAATATAGGTATTTAGACTCGCTTTTATCAGTCGGAAATCTCCACTCCATTAATCATTGCGATACTGTCAATACATCGCTAACTGATTAAATATGTATGCCATTAACCAATCTTATCAGTAAATTCTAAAATAGAAAAATTTTAATTACTAAATCAGAATTGAAATACATATTGCTGGTGAAAAAATAAAGAAACTACTAATCACAATTTTTATAACTCTGTACTTTTAATAATTGTTTAAATTCATTTGTGGACAAATAGAAATAAACTATTGATTGGACAATAGTATGTTAATAATAAAAAGAAATTTGCAATTTGGCTGTTTGGTGAGTCGTTCGTTAGCCAGTGTGATTAATTGCGTAAAACCATAAATAGTAAATTGATGAAAGAATTAACCAAATGTTTTGTCATTAAAATATGAAAACACTAAAAAAGTGTGGTTGGTTACTTTGACTTGTAAATGATTCAAATATCCGTAAGCTGAGCGTTACAATTTTGTCTTGTTGGATGTTTCTGACATTCCCTATATACTTCTTTAAATATAATGGGCTTTAAGATGCCTTGTGTATGCCTGGCTGTCTCAGTACCTTCCTGAATAATATTAACACTAAAACTACTGAAAAATCAGAGTTGCTTATTTCCAATTTTTTATAAACATTAGAACAATACATTTCTTGAGATTCGAAAGATCTT